GAACGATCAGGAGTAATCTACGCAATCCCGTGCCTGGGCTGCAACCAACATTACATAGGTGAGACAGGTAAACAACTACACACTCACCTACACGCACACAAGCTTGCCCTCCTACGCGCTGACCCGAGGTCAAAAATCTGGAACCATTGCGCACGGACAGGTCACGAGATCGCAATCGATAACGCAAAGGTTGTGGCGTGAGCTGAGAAGAACGGGGGACGATTCATCCTCAAAGCTCTGCTCTTGGTCAATTCGTTCAAACGACACGTCGAGATAGACAAATATTAAGTCACACTCGCAAAACCCGTGATGACTGGTGGACTGATAGACGTACAAACAGCACACAGGCGCACGGAGAGATGGTAATTCCATGAGTTCATTCATTTCATTTACGTTTGATAACGAGTCCTAGTTTGGATCGGAACGTTACAATAAACATTTTACAACTCAGTGTACGCCTCCATTCTCTCTTGAAACATATATATATATATATATATATATACGGCACAATTTATACGATACCCTCATTAGTGGATATCTTAGTTAACAAAGAACGGGGTTTCATGGGCTTTGTTACAAATTTTGAGATTTAAATTTTTTCAATTATTATTCTGTATTTTCTCCCTCGCTTCAACTTGCACATTTTGACTGAAATGCAGGCTTTATGCCTACAGAATTTAATTGTAATAAATTACAATACAACACGATACAATACAATAGGCACGCTAATATCAAAGATCTCCAGTTTACAAGGAACAAAGAAAAGTGGAATAAAATCAGACGCGGATAATTATTCCCGGAACCAGGCAACGAACAGATTTTGCAGTCATTCAACGATTTGTTAGTTTTGTGCCATTGGAAAGATTTTGACCGTGTTTGACTCAAGCCTACTGTTTGTTGGGTTAATACACATTTCAAACACACATTTACTCCGTTCATACTGTAGGATCAGAAATACTTTCGTTGTTTTTTGCTCTTCAAAGCTTACAGTGAAGTGTTTTATTCACAATTTTTTTTGAAGCTTGAATCTATAGGTCAGCAGATTAACCATATCAAATCACGTGATCACGTGTTCAAAATACGTTTGCGTCCAATTAGTTTCCCCTCAGTGAGAATGACGCCGCATTTGATTCGGATCTGCACACATTTCGGGAGGGATTACTGTCAATTTTACCATATCGGTTTATAAATATGGGGCCTAAACGGGACCAGCAGAGTTACTCTAATCGATTTCGACGTCAGATAGCAAGGAGAAGAAAATACCTGATCACAGAACGTGAGAAATATCTGCTCAATGAGCATGAAACGAGACAATTGTTGAAACGCTTTGCAATCTGGTATCGCACTAACTACTCAGCGTTCGAGACTGTGTTGGACAGTTTTTCCAGCAACATTGAGGGGGATGCGCTGGTTGATGTGTTCAATGACATGGATGCCCCTTGGAATTCGATCGAGACATATGTTCTGTTAGCCTATTTGGATCGTGAAGAATACGGATTTGTCACATCGGAAATGCTCAGTCGTCTAGCGGAGGTGGTTCGACCCGAGACTACAGAAGCTCCCTCCGACTCGGACACTCTCTATGAAGGTTTACCCGACCCGGTTGATCGGGAAACCATACCGGTCTACGTCCGATTCGCATCTTCGCTGGCTCCTGAATGTCCCCTCAATCTGGATCTTTCGATGAATGTGAACAGTACTATAAAAGATCTAGCATACAAAATCGGGCATTCAGTTGATTTGCCCACAAATGAAATTGTTCTGAAATCGGATCAGTACAGTGAAGCGATTTTGGATGAATCTATTCCTCTGGGATCGTTGATGCAGGATGGCTATGTAGATCTTTTCTACGACTACAAACTTGGATTGACAGACTGTCCGGTTGTTAACTACGATGCGTATTTTACCTGGAGAACCGTCGATCGAATATTAGATTTGTGAGTGCAATGTTTTTAAAATTACAATCCATATGAGTATCTGGATCATTTTATGATCTGTTGCACCCACGAAGTTATACGCAAATGAACAGATCGCTTGTTTTTCCACTCAGTCGGTCGCGAGTCAAGGGAATCTTTATCATCTTTGGTACACAATTCCTTCTAATGGTATGATTCTGTGATAGAGTACAGTGATTGGTCTGTTGCATTTGATTCCACCATTTACCTTGAGAGGGGACCGAAGAGTGATGTACAGCAGGTTTTAGGGTTTCTGTGGGCGGTTAGATAATCGTTTACTCAATTCTGTTGAACAGTTTATCATTTTTCTTAATGAAAGCGGTATGACTGATAGACAGCTTGTATCATACGATTTAATAAGGCGCTAAAGAATTACTGTTAAGACAATGTGTGCATAATGTTCGCGGATGACGAGCGTAATTTCAGTTAATGCGTAAAACTGATTAGAAATAATACTAATAAGTGTTATCAAGAATAAATTTTGAGGCCTTCATTTGACAGTACTAGGGAAATAGTTTTCAACATTCTATAAGCTGAAGGATGTAAAACCTGCACTAAGATGCCAACCACAATTACTACACCATGCGTTTTATTTAGGAAAGAGTTTCTAAGCCATTTATGCCAAGTACCTAACTAACAACGATATATATGATATGTATATGATATATATTATATTATATATCATACACATGCATAGTCAACCTGGTGTCGGCTGAGAAAAACAAACGTGTTCACCTCACACAATGCAAAAACCAATGCACGCCATCACATATTTATTTACTGTTTGCAGTGTACCTGCTGACGCACTTATGTAGGCGGAACCAACGGCATTTTAACACTCAGGTATCGGAATACATTCCTCAAAAGCGCTAGGGAATTCACTAGCTGAGGATTGCTTACCTTTATAATTAGCTGTCTGCAAGGAATTGATCACACGCTTGATCTCAAATCAGTTTCAGTTTCAGTTTGTACAACCATTAACCATGCACTTTCGTGCGCTGGTTTTGGTTGCCGTCTCAAATACGCTTTATCTATCTTGACCGTGAATGATAAAAAAGTAGCTGCGTTTAGTCACAGACTAAAATTGAGGTTAATCGTTTTCTTAGTGTATTCAGTTATTACTCATAGTAAACAATATTAGCATCTTTGGTAGGCACATGACGAAGCTTTCGGTGGGTTCTCGTGATATTCAATCACGGATCAAAGTCGTGGATTCAATCGCGTAGCACTTTAAAATAAAAACCGACCTTTAAATTGCTTGGGTACCGTTCGAGACACTCATGAAAACCAGACAGCTCTGTTTCGGATGACATGCTTCGTTCTGTGTAACTCTATATACCTCCTTTCACAAAACACTTTTCCAGTTATCTCTCGGAAATAAGGATTTATAATACTGAGATCTAAGGAACAAATAGAAAAGTCATTTGTTTTTCATGGGAAATCAAATACCGCCCTATTGTTAATTCATTTCTCCCGCCACCCATATATATTTCATCCTTTTGATCATAGATTGGCCCGTGAATACACTTGAACTTTGATATGCCTCACTAATATTCTTTTCAATCAGCTTTATATATTCTTTGTATTTCATTACGCGTTCGTAATTCTTTCATCAAATTTTACCGTTCGAGGCGGACGCTGTGCATTATATTGACACGTCTTTCAAAATGTTGTAAAAGTACCGTAACAAGTGCAAGAAATGCCTATGCACAACACAATCACCAATGGTAGATTTTCTATATTCGTTTGAGGAAAGCAATTCCTGAAGATTTTGTGGTTACACCTTATTTGATGTTGTGAAATTGGGATTTCCCTCAGACGAGAGACTCCATATATCCTCGGAGAAACGGGAAGGTTTAGAGTACTTTACATCTTTGTGTTTTCCAGTTCGATTTCGAGCTGTCTTAGATCAATTGTAACTACAGACATACACTGGAAGCCTCCTATGAAATTTAGAATACCATATTTGATTATGCTCAATTTTTCACACAAACCAGACTGTTCATGATCTTCGGTGTGTGTTTCACACATTGGAAGTTCGTCAAATCCCCATATGTTGAATACATTTTATTTGAGATGTAATTCTTGATAATAATCGACATTACATTCTAGTTTTTTTTTCAGTTTCGATCTTATTCACTCTGCGCACGGCACCATATACCAATTTCATTTTGTCCATCAAAATATCTGATGACTGACTGGTTTAGAGACAGTTATGTTATTCTGTGAATGCATGTTTTGATCTCGCAGCTTTTGAATTCTTTTTGTGAATCGACAGTTATGGCCGAACGGTGCAAAACGCTATCTGGCATCATTTTTAAACTGTGATTGCTGCAACCGGTCTCAAGCCAGTCCAGTTTGTACAACGATTAACGATGCATTTTCGTGCGACGGGTTTTGGTTGCTGTCTTTTGATCACCCATTTGGATAAAGTAGTAGGAGAAAGAGAGGGAGGTTAGAGTCCAGTCGAAGAGAACAGGAAGAATTTCAGAAAACTAAGGTTGTAAAGAGAAGACACTGCGGGATATGGCATCGAACCGGTCAGTGGTGCGAATGTAACCTCTCCCGTTTGCAATCCCAAAAATAAATAAAAACGAAAAAGAACTCAAAATGGCGCGCAGTAAACAAACAAACAAACAAACAAAAAATTGTTACTCCTCGAAGTTGACTGCTTTTTTATCCCCGTTTTTTTACCTATATTTTTTCGTTCACTTATGCTTATTTTGGCGCCGTATCTGTAAAGATTGGTGTTATATATATATATATATATATATGAAGAGAAGAGAATGAGAGAATTCCCGACCAGTAAATGCTTTGTTCCGTAAACGCACGCGCACAGACGGACGAAGAGAGAGATGAAGAGACAAACGCATCCACCTACTGGGTTATCTTCTGTCAAATGTTCTTGTTTTTCGTATCTGTTTGGACATTTTCGTCAACCAATGTCCGTATTTTCGATTGAAATCGCACATCACTTCATCAAGTCAGTAATTATCGTCCCAAACTAAGCTTGAAATAGTAGATGAGAAATTCTGCAGTGGCGCGCACTCGCTTTTCTAGTGTTGTGAGATACTACTCAATTGTGAGTAGGGACGAGGTAGATTATAGAGAATTTCTGGTGTGACATTTTCATAAACCGATAGATGTAACTCGTACGTTTTTCAATGTAGCTATTTGATCAAGAGATATTAAAGACAAGCGGCTGAAAATCAACAATCGGCGGTGAACAGTTTTGAAATCTATTTGAAAAAGGTTGGGAAAAATGGGATAACAATGATATCTTGCCGACATTGAACTGACTGAGTCTTCATATTTGACAAGATGCCTTATGCATGTATATTATCAGCTTGTAAAGGAGCGCGGTGTCAATACAACAACAATCATGATAGTAAAATAGGATCCAGGTACAGAAGTTATGTGGGGAAAATAATGGAGGACCAAGAAGACAGTACAGTATTTTATATTTGTTTCCTTGCTTCTTTTCCTTTTTATGCTGTCTGGAATTTCAACAAACACACTGTACAACATTCAAGCCACTGACTTCTATTTTGAGACATACAACTCAGCGTCACTAATACATGAAAATCCTCGTCCTAGGGGCCCAACCTGGATGGCAGGCTGCAAAGCTGAAGTTAACTTCTTCATTCTCCTACACCAGATCATAAGTTGACCACCCCGGAGTTCTCTTCCAGTCTTGCCCAGTACACGAAAGGGGTGCGTGGACAGGTCACCGATGGGCAAGCCAGCGTAAAACGTGGCCGAACCACCGAAGTCGGTGTTGAACGATTGCTCATTTTAGGGAACGTTAATAAACAACAATGAACCTCGTCCTTGCTCACCTGACAATACAGATAAAAAAATGAGTAGCTCACTTTAGCTTAATCTCTATGGCTACAGTTTTAGTTTCAGTTTTACAACCATTAACCATGCACTTTCGTGCGCGGGCTTTGGTTGCTGTCTTTTGGTTGCCCATTTGGATAAATTAGCGAATTGAAGATTGGAATGTCGAAGCAAATTCAAGCAGAAGATGGATAATACATATAGAGTGAGATGGGGAATACATATAGAGTGGTACTAGGAAAATAACGAGTGGATGCACGAACGCCTCTGTTTGCGACACCCAGCCATATCACTCAGTGTCTCTAACCATCGGTGATCATCATCCCGAGGTCCCCAGCCAGGGAGCCTAACGGGGCCTATGTGACCTAGTCTCCTGATTAGGGTTTTCATACCCTTATGCCAGGTCTTAGCTTGACCGCCCTTTGTTTTTCTCCAATCGCTACCAGCCTTGGCAAACATCGTCCGCCGTGGCAATCTATTGGCGACATGCGTAGCACATGTCCCCAACCACAGCGCAATCTATGGAGGTCGATCACTTGTTCCAGTGGACGACCGCGACTGCCTAAAACTACTCCTGATATTGAACAAAAACCGCTCCATTTAGACATCCTTTGTTTGCGACAGGCGTTTCACAAGGATAGGTGCATTGAGAGTGGGTAGACATGCATTTAAAGCACAAGAATTAATTAGGAGTCAGTCCAAATGGAGCGGAAAAAGTAAATATATGAACGGTTGTTGGAGAAAAGTTTTTCAGATCTTAGTAAAAGTACTATCTCCTACTTATATTCCTCTAGTTAATGCTTACATTAATTGACTTGCTGACTTCACTCATGGTTATTAGGTATAATCTTTATGTCTGCTTTCATTTTCGACTTGATGGCGTTTAACCTCGTAGTGATTGTGTGTGCATACGTCCGTCTAACCCTAAGAGTTGACTTGTCCTCGTCTCTTATTCTTATACTGATTGCCAATCGGATACAATTTGTGTCCCCTGATAGTCTACATTCTGAACAATTTTATTTGTTCCGGTAATTGCCTACCTCGAAACCTCCCTTCAGTTCATCCGAGAGACAAACTGTTCACCGCAATACCGGAATGTAACTGGCCTGAACGATTCCCAGTTATTTACTTTCTATTCTATTACCA